TAACTTAAATGACACTGACCAATCTTATTGCGCACGGGGTTCTGGATAAAAACGATGAAATGAAAAGGTGATTCAATACAGTACCGTTAAAATTTTATAGATGAATGACTTTTAGAGCACCGATCACTGAATGTTACAATACTATATATCTTACTCACAAAAAAAATTATTTTAACTTATACCATATACTTATCGTCATTTGTATATTTGACAAAATATGAAATTTTCAGAGATTATTTTAATATGATATCTAATTAATTAATTATTTTTTTATTTATTTTAAATATTAGTTTTGTATAAATGTACATTTAAAATTGAACGCATATATTAAAACTACTCAATACATATTTTCATTACGAAGTAGAAATATTTAACAATAAGTATTTAAGCTTTATAAATATATTCACAAGAATTAGTGGTTTCAATAGTGAGAAAGGTCGTTGACTGAGATTTTTTGATGAGGGGCAATTGATGCGAACTATACTTGATGATGGAAAGATAAAATGTTTGATGTAAACTAATATGCTATGGAAATAGAAAACAATATGAGAGAAACAACACAAAATATCAAACAGGAATCGTTACACACAATGCTGGCCGATGTGCTCTCATATCAGCAACTCGTCTTGGCAATGGTGCAATTTTTAAAATATACTACATTTAAATTAGCATTGAGATGAGCAGTATTACAATCCACAGGCTCTAGGTTTCGTTCGGGACAAAACTTATTGAACAATAGTGTTAGAAACAATCGGATGTTAAATTTAGTCTTAAAACGATGCTTCCTTCGATAACATTTTTTTCAAGAATGATCGCATATAATACAGAACTAAATAAATATTTCTATTTTTTTATAATATTCATAATTGTGACTGAATATGAATCTATAATTTAGTTGATTAATAATTGGATACGTGTATGCATTTTAAATATGATTTAAATACACATTGCATACCTTAGGAGTCATAATGAATGTAACAATAATTCACAAATTAAACATAGTTTTCCGTCTCTTTTTTCGCTGAATTATTTTTGCGCTGACAAGCATAAGTTTTTTAACTAGCCGATCTTCTGCATAAACAGCTATCGGTTTTACGTTTTAAGCACTAAAATATCGTCCGTTGTGATAGTTACCGAATGCAAATCAGCTATATTAATCGATTATTCACTATACGATTGTTTTGAAATTTCAACAGGTCAAATATGTGTTACACCAAGCTTTTCCAATTAATAATTGATATTATTGGTCCGATAATTTGTGAATGAAGAAACGCGATTGTTTGACCAATACTTTAAGACGCATTTTTTTAAAGGAGCGTTCTGTTGAACTAATCGTTTCGTTAGTATTTAAACATGTTTAATAAATTTTGCAGCTCCTTTATGAATCGACGGGTGTCTACTTGACCAGAAGCAAATTGCTGTCTAGAAGAGGAGCAAAATGCCCCCCCCAAAAAAAAGACAAAAAAAAAAGTTCATGCAAAGATCATGTGGACACACAGTCAGAAATTTCATTTTCAACCTGCAAACTATCTCAAAAGTTGCTATTATCAGACCAAGAACTTCCCCCAAGTCAGCAAAAACTGCTTTTATTTTACCATGTTTAATGCGAACTTTTATTTAAGCTCAAATATTCTTCGATATAGTCAACACTTAACTTCCAAGTCTTTTTATAACTTAACGCTTTTGAGACATCGCTTGGACAAACATACACTGAAATGGACTCTTTGCTAGGTCATCTTTTCAATGAGACAAGATATAACAAATATCTGAGACCTTTAGAAAACCAAAGTCACGTAATTCAGGTAATTATATTATATATTGTGTGTTGTTATTATTTATTTTTTTCTCATTGCTTTATTATTTCCCTCTTTGCAACATGAACCAATTTTTAATAAGGTCTTTGAAAGTGCTTTGTGACTCTAGTAATTTTTCTAGGTGTTTATCGTCGTGGTCTTTGGCCTGGTCTTAATTATTTAAAAAAAAGTTGACGGCTTTGTCTGTACGTGTAGATAGATGTTCAACAAACTTGTGACAAGTCTATTAAAAAGCTAAATTTAAGGTGTACGAATCATTTTTATTTATGTTATAAACACTAAAAATCGAAATATTAAAACAACATAATAAAAATATATACAATGAACAGAATGATAACTCGAAAAACATAACAAAAGTCATCTGGTTAATATCCGGAACTCGGCAAATGTGGGGTTTTCCAAGCTACTCCCCCAGTTTCAACTTTACGGTACACTACCGGTCACAATACATAAATCACCCTTCAAAACCTTAACTGTAAAAGTTTGTATATATTTTTTGCTGGGGAAAAATCCAAAATATTCTAAATTCCGGAGTAAGTTCATTGTATAAATGTACATTTAAAATTGAACGCATCTATTAAAACTACTCAATACATATTTTCATTACGAAGTAGAAATATTTAACAATAAGTATTTAAGCTTTATAAATATATTCACAAGAATTAGTGGTTTCAATAGTGAGAAAGGTCGTTGACTGAGATTTTTTGATGAGGGGCAATTGATGCGAACTATACTTGATGGAAAGATAAAATGTTTGGTTTAAACTAATATGCTATGGAAATAGAAAACAATATGAGAGAAACAACACAAAATATCAAACAGGAATCGTAACACACAATGCTGGCCGATGTGCTCTCATATCAGAAACTCGTCTTGGCAATGGTGCAATTTTTAAAATATACTACATTTAAATTAGCATTGAGATGAGCAGTATTACAATCCACAGGCTCTAGGTTTCGTTCGGGACAAAACTTATTGAAAAATAGTGTTAGAAACAATCGGATGTTAAATTTAGTCTTAAAACGATGCTTCCTTCGATAACATTTTTTTCAAGAATGATCGCATATAATACATAACTAAATAAATATTTCTATTTTTTTATAATAGTCATAATTGTGACTGAATATGAATCTATAATTTAGTTGATTAATAAATGGATACGTGTATGCATTTTAAATATGATTTAAATTCACATTGCATACCTTAGGAGTCATAATGAATGTAACAATAATTCACAAATTCAACATAGTTTTCCTTCTCTTTTTTCGCTGAATTATTTTTGCGCTGACAAGCATAAATTTTTTAACTTGACATAGCCGATCTTCTGCATAAACAGCTATCGGTTTTACGTTTTAACCACTAATATATCGTCCGCTGTGATGGTTACCGAATGCAAATCAGCTATATTAATCGATAATTCACTATACGATTGTTTTGAAATTTCAACAGGTCAAATATGTGTGACACCAAGTTTTTCCAATTAATAATTGATATTATTGGTCCGATAATTTGTGAATGAAGAAACGCGATTATTTGACCAATACTTTAAGACGCATTTTTTTAAAGGAGCGTTCTGTTGAACTAATCGTTTCGTTAGTATTTAAACATGTTTAATAAATTTTGCAGCTCCTTTATGAATCGACGGGTGTCTACTTAACCAGAAGCAAATTGCTGTCTAGAAGAGGAGCAAAATGGGTCCCCCCCCCCAAAAAAAAAAGACAAAAAAAAAAAAGTTCATGCAAAGATCATGTGGACACACAGTCAGAAATTTCATTTTCAACCTGCAAACTATCTCAAAAGTTGCTATTATCAGACCAATAAACTTCCCCCAAGTCAGCAAAAACTGCTTTTATTTTACCATGTTTAATGCGAACTTTTATTTAAGCTCAAATATTCTTCGATATAGTCAACACTTAACTTCCAAGCCTTTTTATAACTTAACGCTTTCGAGACATCGCTTGGACAAACATACACTGAAATGGACTCTTTGCTAGGTCATCTTTTCAATGAGACAAGATAAAACAAATATCTGAGACCTTAAGAAAACCAAAGTCACGTAATTCAGGTAATTATATTATATATTGTGTGTTGTTATTATTTATTTTTTTCTCATTGCTTTATTATTTCCCTCTTTGCAACATGAACCAATTTTTAATAAGGTCTTTGAAAGTGCTTTGTGACTCTAGTAATTTTTCTAGGTGTTTATCTAGGTGTTTATCGTCGTGGTCTTTGGCCTAGTCTTAATTATTTAAAAAAAAGTTAATGGCTTTGTCTGTACGTGTAGATAGATGTTCAACAAACTTGTGACAAGTCTATAAAAAAGCTAAATTTAAGGTGTACGAATTATTTTTATTAAGTTATTAACACATAAAATCGAAACATTAAAAAATCATAATAAAATATATACAATTAACAGAATGATACCCGAAAAACAAAACAAAGTCATCTGGTTATCCGAAACTCGGCAAATGTGGGGTTTTCCAAGCTACTCCCCCAGTTTCAACTTTACGGTACACTACCGGTCACAATACATAAATCACCCTTCAAAACCTTAACTGTAAAAGTTTGTATATATTTTTTGCTGGGGAAAAATCCAAAATATTCTTAATTCCGGAGTAAGTTCATTGTGCAAAGGTTTTTTTTATACGTTTTGTCCAGTTTCAAATAATTTTCCTGAGAGTAAATGCGGTGTATATGCGTATTATCAAGTTTTAAAATGTCCGATCTATTTTCATGAAAGAAATATATTAATTCTTTACAAATTTCTTTTGATTTAACCAAGTCGGCGACTGATATAGAAAATACACAGTTCATTCATAAATTCTATAGAAATAAAAAAAAGAAGTATATGAGAAAATTCTATTAATCCGAGAGCAAAATTTAAATATATTTTTACAATTTAAGTTATCTTTGCATTGATATCTTAAATATGTTTATCTTATGTATTATCAGCTACAGAATAACAAATTCAAAATTATTTTTCCGTGACCTTTTGTAGGTAAACTTTACACAGTATGTATCTAGACATCTCGTCAGGTGAGCTTCTAATAACTGGATACTTCGAAATAAAATGGACAGATGAAATGTTGACATGGGACCCTGCTTTTTACGGAGGTAGAGAAAAAATACAGTTGCCCAAAGATAAATATTGGAAACCAGAGATTTCCTTAACAGACGGACCGGTAAATGAGGACACATCAATTTATGGGAGCGGATTCTATACCAAGGGATAGTAATGATCATTGCAGAAGGCAGTTACAAGACGAAATGTGTTGTTTTGTTCGCCCTGAATCCGGTGAAAGGACAACATTTGCAATAACGCTATATTTAGCATTAGTTTTTGCAGCAACATCATTAACTGAGACAATACCTAGAAATTCATTAAAAATGCCAATGATTTCGTATCAACTGCTTACGGTTAATATCATCAACACGGTTGGCGTTTTATGGAGCATATTCATTGTTAATTGTGCAAGTAAATCTGTGGCTCATAGATATCTGCCAAACTTTCTTCTGAGGATGATTACAAAAAGGAGACAGAAAAGCAAAAACAATTGTAAAATGGTTTCTGTAGAAAATTCAGTTGTATCGATATTGCCTGTTGAGGGTACGGATATAAGTGATGGTCAAAAGGAAGAAGTATGTAATGAACCACAATCTGCTGAAATAACTGGACAAGAGGTGGCGGAAGTTCTCGATACAATTTATTTCTGGATAATCATTATTTGTATTATTTTAGCAAATGTCATATACAGTGCATTTGTGTACAAAAGTTGGTTCAGTTAGATGCATCAGGGAGTTGTGTTCTTTTCGTAAGAAACACGCTCTCTAAGTCAAATGAGTCGACTGGTCGTTTGTCTCTCATCGCTAACTCAGAAATAATTTGTGATTGGAAGTCGGTAACTTGCGGAAAATTAGGTATTGATTCCTGATAATCCAGGAAAGCCGGTTAGGTGTGTCAACGGCCGGGATATGACCAAAATTATGTTGAAATCGGCTAAAATAAAACAGAGACAAAAACTGTAAACTAAAGTGACTTTTTTAATTGCACAGCTTATATGTCAAATGACTGGTACTCAATTTCAATATTTTTTTGCAATTGACAAGTGCATGTCTTTAACAAAGCATAAATTACATAAATTATAGAAAAACAATCAAACACGCAACAACAAAACAACACAAATATATCTATATAATGACAAAAATCCTACTGATAGATTATTCTTTGAAAACAATCTTGGTTCATATTGTGATCTGAAAACAATTTTATATTTCAATTTTATAAAATGCTAGCATTATTGATAATTTTACTCAAACCATTGATGTTACATAAAGTTAATGAAATTTTGTTTTGCCAACACGAATAAATGATATAATTTGAGAATTTTGTTTAAATCAAAATCTTTGTGGTAAACTGGAAAGAAAGTGTTTTTTTTATTAAACAGTCAATTATCACAGAAACGCTTGGAATTTTTAAAGGGATTCCACAGAAGTCTTTCTATATCACGATATAGTTTTTACGTACCAGTAAATTTCATCTCCATTTTCTCATTGATAAAACTACGGAAATTTTGAATAGTTATTTCACCTTTTCTGTATTCCAGAAATTTTAGTTAACTTGTTTAAAAACGGTCTTATGTATTTTACATATTTACACAACAAAGTGTTCTCATAACCTACAACAATCACAAGAATCAACACAATCTGTATTGCTGATCTCAATGTAATACAAAGGCATGAATTTCAAAGTATCTATATATATATATATATATATATATATATATATATATATATATATATATATATATATATATATATATATATATATATATATATATATATATATATATCATTGTATGACAGTGAGTTGTGTTATAAATTAAACTGAAAATGGTCACTTTTTATAATTTTAGTCATTTTCTGAAGCTACACAGATAATACAGATAAAACATAAACAAGTCAGACCTTAGGAAGTCATTGAATATCCTTATATAACACAAAGTCTGATAGAGTTTATTCTCAAAGACTATTTTATCATATAGTTATTCAAAATGTTAAAACAGAAAATACGATTCCATGGACTCTTATTACAATCCATGCTGTCAATTATGCCAGAAATGAAATCTTACTAGAATATTGAAACATTTTGTCATTATTTAAGCTATTGTGTAGAGTAATTGAGATTAGATGCGCTCGTATTCAGACAATTTTCTATTCAATTTTACATGCAGCTTTATAAGCGTATTAAACATGAACATTCGCAATACACTGGTGTTTTATTTTTTATATACTTGTATACTTTAAAATGATATTTAGACATTGTAAAATGCTACCGGTTGCTATGTAAATTGGGCGTATTTTCTCGTGGAAGCGCAATCTACGAAAGGCAAAAAGTAAAAGTACACTTTGAGTTTTAAAATCAATTTTACTTGGAAATAAATGTAATAATTACAATTTTCATAACAAAAGGATATCTGACATATTTTGGTATAGCCAACTTAGTTATAACAACTCATTCATTCTTGCATGCTCGTGAAATATGTGCATTAAAACTAAGAAATTGTTTGCTGTTTAATTGAATACCAGATTAATGCGTTATGTCAGGACGTAATTTGTTTTCAACAAAATTGTAAAGTTTTAATCAACATCTAGGAAACATTCACTCAGGCGCTTGCAATTTAGCAAATTAAAAACTCCGAAAACAAAATAGTACTAATTAAAAGTATTGTAGAGAAATAATTATAAGCACCGTGATTTCATTTTTTTTCTTTAATGCTAGTCGACATGAACATATTTGATTAATGATAAGATAAACGAATCAAAGTTATTTTGTTTCGAATCTTAAGAAAGCGATTTCGAATTTAGAACTTGGAAACTAAACCGAAATCTTACTTTGTCGATCCTTCACGTCAAACTTTGAATTAATGAAATTAGCAATCTGCAAGGTTTCTGATTCCTTATTTTATTGGTCATTAAGTTACACCGACACTTTAATGGCAATATGCCGACTTTCCAGCTTTACCTCAGAGCCCCCTTTAAATAAGTTTGTTTTAAATAATAAACAGGATGTCGTTCTCTTGTGCAATACGCCTCCATGAATACAAACAACACAGATGCAGTTGCTTATTTTCGTGTTGGGAAGAGATAACTAGACAGTAACATTGTTTGTATGGTCAGTGTTTATTCTCATTAAATTCTTCACTGATGATGATAGATGTTGATACATTGAAAAGTATCCATCAATTCTAACAGACATTCTACGTCTGATAACGTGTAAACGTCTTTACCAAACCACTATAATACGAGTATAACTACGCCAATTATTGGATGGACAAGTACCGAGGTCACTCCTACGAAAAAAATATATGATAAGTTATAAATATAATCGCTTTGCTAGACCTTAACGGTCAATATTTCTTTTCTAGAGACCTAACACATTTATGTTTTAAAGCTTGTATGGCCAAACGAAGGTTTAATTATTATAACAAACAAAAATTCGGGTCATTAATCACTAGTTTAGGTTTAAATAAAAAGGAATCAGAGGAAGATTAAACCAAGACTGTATTTACTACATGTTATGTATGTACCGCTTATCTGGTAGGGGAAGATCCTTTAAAAAAAAATAACAAGCACCTGATTTGAACAACAGCTACCTGAAAAGCTCGGTCATATAATAAAGTCCAAATCACCGCTCCCTTTCAAAATACTTCAATGAGGAAAATCGCTTTAACTTTTGCTGTCGTCTGCTAAGAATGTAGATTGTCGCTTTATACTTTAATTTTATCCAAAACATGTATGTCAACCGGCTTGTTTTTATCCGCCAAGGGACGCAATAGAGTTTGCAAAATCCATTATCAGCGCTATCAGCATGTGAAGTATTAAACAATTCAGAACCGAAGTGATATGTTTTTGTATAAAACACTATATAGATGTTGCTTTTTCTTTTCTATGCAGTTTTCTTTTAAATTCCTCCTATATCTTTAATTTCATTATTATCTGTACTTAGTAAATTTCGCAAGACAGACAAAAAGAAATAATTGCAAAGTTCCGCATGATCTTTTGTTCAGAAACCATGTGAGGCAAGCAAATATCACGCATTCTTCTTCGTAAACTTTTACAAGAAAAAGGATTTCCTTGTATTAATTAAGGAAATCTCGCATTCTTTTGGGTAACAGGAGAAAGACACCGCAACAAAAGGATTATCATTTCCTTGTTATATCATTATCAGGCGTGTCTTATCCTAGAAGGTTTATCTGAAAGAAAAACTTAAGAATGCACATTATTTCCTTTAAATCAATTAACACAAAGCGCAAAAATGATCATTACATCTATTACAGAATGCCACTTGAGGCATATATAATATTGTTAAAATATGATAAGCAAGATCAAAAAGGAAAGGCGGCGTTCAATGAACGCAAAGCCGAATTCTTTGAAATTACAAATAACCATATATACATATCTAAAACAACCAATGTTTAAATTATCAAAAAAAAAAGGAGTTGCATCTTATGAAGTGCGGACGGCATTCTCAGTTAAATTTCAAAATAGGATTTTAACATTTCGTTATTCTTTGTTATTATTATTTCTACACAATAAAATATTTTTGTTGTCATATCAGCCAGAATATAAAACATTCTTTACATTCGTTCGATTTGTTTCTCAGAATTTCAATTCAAAACAAAATGCTTTGCTACATTTAACAAAGCACTTGAAATTTATACGATTTCTTTATGTAAATACAGCAGTTTTTCAATCATAAAATAATCCGCTTTATTTCATTTAAACTTTTATTTCCGTTGTAATTTCCCGATTGAATGAATATAGTTACATTATCATTATAATTTCTCTTGTTTTTGCTTAAATGACTTAAAAAATACCAAGGCAAAATCTTTAATGCACGACAGAAAAGCAATTAAATTGCAAACATCTAGCCGGGAATCAATTTAATTTTGAACAAGTCTTTTAATTTAGGTTTTAAGGTTTCTTTTATTTTTGCCTTTACACATTACTCACATTAAATACTTGTTTATAACACGACCGACAAATAGACATTTGTCAATATGTTATAGTCTGGTGACTTCTTTGGATATACATCAACACAGAGAGGATGGCGGAATGTGTGACAGACAGGTGGAAGGTTTAACTGATGTAAGGTTTGTGGGGTCATTCAGCAAGAATGGAATTAACTTCGCAAGTTGGAGTACTATGTACAAATTAGCACATGAACATTAAAACATCAATCTCCCCCCTCCCCCCAAAAAAAAAAACAACAACAAGCTCAAATATCAAATCATAGAAACAGTACCGGCTATAATGACTCTTTCATCCCTCACCTCCATGAAGTTTTCCACATATTTTATCTCCTACTCAGGTTAAAGGAAAGCAGAAAAATTGTGGCCTTATTTATCATTTTAATGTCTTCTGACCTTGGATACCGTGACCTCACATGCATGACGAGATTCATGTATTCATCAACAACCACAAACATCATTATGATATTTTTAAAAGAGACAATTCCAAAATATCTATTTTACCTGTCACTGTAAGAAAGCTTTATAGAGAAAAGTAAAACATTTATACTCACATAAAGTACGACCTTTACCCCAGAAAATGGCAGAAAATTATGCAAGGTGCACATTAATCAAACATCTTACATAATCAAGTATCAGTGTTAATAGGAAATCAATAATCAATAATAAAGATGAGACATTTTTGTCAGCCAGCACTATAAAGCTTCATCAGGTCATACTACTTTAAATTTCTATAATTTAATTCAGAACACTTTC